GCAATGCTCTCTCTCTCTCTCTCTCTCTCTCTCTCTCTCTCTCTCTCTCTCTCCATATCATTCTCTGTTCCTTTAGATTTAAACAATTTAGTTAAAGAGAAAGAATGTCTTTTTTTTCAGTTAAAATACTGTCTTATTCCAGTTAAATGTGCAAAATCAGCAAGTTCAGTCCAACAATGGACTGAAAACTATATATATAAAAAATATATATATTTTAATTTCTTTAATTCTTTAATTAATATTTTCATTCAGTTAATTTAATGTTTACATTCATTTTTTTTTTAATTCATTTAATTCTCTCTCTTTTTTTACTGCAACAGTAACTAGCAAATAAAATATTTGGTGTAAACTGAATAAAATGAGCTTCTACAAGTGTAGGCTACAAGTGTCATCCAAAACAAAAAAAAAAAAGCTTATACATATTATTTTATTCAATATTTTAAATAATTAATATTTTTTAATATTTACATTAATCACATTTTTGACTGTAGTAACGGTAACTGTTGCAGATAAAGTATTCGGTGTAGACTGGTTACTACTCTAGCTGGTCAGTGAGGCTGATGACAGGTTAGAGTAATCTGATCTCGCACCTTCAGTCCCAGCGGACGTCCCACAGACAGATGCTGAAGTGTGTGACTCCAGGTCAAACTCAACAACACTAGTGTGGGAACAGAGAAACTAGTGCACTTAGAGGTTTTCTTTGAAGTGTATTTCCTATGATCAAACCATAAAGCGTTTCCCTCTAGAAACCAGGTTTTCAACAAACCTAGATTCACATTTCCATGACTTTACTACTAGCGTGGATTCAGACATTATTGCTGAGATTTGGAAATGTGCTGCTCTCTTGTACAAACTCCAGGAATGTGTGTTTGAGCTCCGGCCAACAATCAGAACGAGTGGTGATTATTTTAGCCTGTCGCTAGGCAACATGACTAGTATCTAGGGCCAGAGGAGATTCTGATCCTGCTGTTATTTTTAAATCACAGACAGATATGAAAAAGTGTAGGGAGAGAAAAAATGAAGAAACAAAGGAAAAGAGAGAAGAGGAGAGGAGCGAGACGCTGCCAACAGCCGTATAGACACAAGCTAGTTTTGGCAAAGCTGAGAGACAGACGAGCAGAGAGGAGAATGCTCAGCAGTTCTCATAGGGACTTTAGACGGTTCTCAGATGAAAGAAACGTCACTAGGCTGACAATTATAAGCACATCAGTAACGTTTCGTTCTGCACAGGGTTGTTATAGTTAAAAATAAGTTTAATAGAAAACTATTAAAAACATATTTGTTCATTGAAATGAAGCTGAATTAAAATATAAATATTATGTTAAAAACTCAACTAAACTTTGACATCTTGTCTTGGCAAATAACTGAAATATGTTTAAGAATAAAGCTCTAAAATTACTAACTGGAAAAAAACTAAAACTAACACTTAAAAATAAATGAAACCTAAAGAGTAAGATTTAAAAAAAAAAGTAGATATAGGCAGAGAGGAGAATGCTCAGCAGTTCTCATAGGGACTTTAGACGGTTCTCAGATGAAAGAAACGTCACTAGGCTGACAATTATAAGCACATCAGTAACGTTTCGTTCTGCACAGGGTTGTTATAGTTAAAAATAAGTTTAATAGAAAACTATTAAAAACATATTTGTTCATTGAAATGAAGCTGAATTAAAATATAAATATTATGTTAAAAACTCAACTAAACTTTGACATCTTGTCTTGGCAAATAACTGAAATATGTTTAAGAATAAAGCTCTAAAATTACTAACTGGAAAAAAACTAAAACTAACACTTAAAAATAAATGAAACCTAAAGAGTAAGATTTTTAAAAAAAAGTAGATATAGATAGATAGATAGATAGATAGATAGATAGACAGACAGACAGACAGACAGACAGACAGACAGACAGACAGAAAAAAGAGAGAGAGAGAGATAAACTAAACTTAAAATGAAAACTGAAAATATAAAAAAATAAACAATTGAAAATATTTATAATGACTATAATAAATATAATATATATTATAATAATCATTAAAATAATTTTCAAGCAAAGGTTTAATTGTCAGATTAAGTCAAATGAAAATGGAAATACAAATTAAATCTAAATAGTAATGCACAAAACTAAATAATAAAAAAAAAATCTTGAACTGTTTTTAAATTAAAATGTTTAAAAATTAAAACAAATATATAAAAATGTAAGCTAATTCAAAATATTAATAACATACATATATGACAATATTAAAATAAAACTTGTTCTGCAAGCTGTCATTTTCAAGCAAAGGTTTAGTTGTTGTATAGACTAACTAAAACTAAAACTGAAAGAATAATAAATTAAACCTAAATAGTAATATTTAAATTATTAATAATAATGATAATGACAAAAGCACATAACAAAATGACTACAAAATAAACTAAAATTAAAATGATAACTTAAAATTAAATTAGAATTAATTCAAAATATTAATGAATTTTAATAATATTAAAATAATAAATAATATTAAATATTATAACAACTGTAATATACAATTTTCAAGCAAAAGTGTAGTTGTCATAATTACATTATATTTTTTATTATTTATTTATTTATGGCATTTACAATTTAATAATAATTAAATATTTGTTTTATGCAAAAAAAAAGTTTTTTTTTTTTTTTACTACAATATATAGAATTAATTAAAATAACACTACTAAAATATTACAAATGTGTATAAAAAGGACAGGTAAAAATCTGGGGGTTGGCTATTGTCAAGATCTGTTAAAGAAAGATAATACAATCTGTGGAGTGATATTATGCTCTTAACAAAGAACCCACGTGCCACTGTTGAATGAGCTGCTGGATGTTCAGATATGGTCTGATATTGTGGTTTTGAGGTGGTTTTTCAGCCAGGTTTGGTGGTTGGTCTGTATGTTGTCGCTGAGGTCACCAGTCACAGTGCACTATTACTCACGGTACGAGTTGAGAGTGGCATAGCGCGTACCAAAAGTAATAATGAACCGTGAGGCTGGTCAGGGCTCCACCTGCAGGGGGCGCTAGAGGGGAAACACACTCATATACCGCCGTATAAAAGCCCGCACTTACCCACAATCACACATTTCTGACACTGTAATGTATTACCACTTAATACCATTTTTGCTTTTGTGTTTTTTTATGTACTATTCATCTGAAGTTGTATCTGAAGTTATCGTGTCTCTATTCATTTGAAAGCAGTATATAAAAAGTGCTGGGATTTCCAGTGGATTTGTGAAGTATGCATCTGTGCATGCTTTTTGGGTTTATATTGCCCACAATGCCTTGTGCAATGGAAAAGCGGGAATCTGAGAGCGTCCTCTTCCCACACTTTCAGCTGCAGAAACGTGGTCAGGAATGTGGGACCAAAACCGCCACAGCCGTTTATAAATGTATGAACTTATGATGAATTATAGGCTAATGCATTCAGATCTATGCAAACAGGGGATCTGTGGTATTATTATAATGTGTATAATGTGCATATAATGTGTCCCAATGATTGCATACTTAAAAGTATGTAATTTATGTCCTGATATTGTCACAAACAAAATATCTATTTGTAGTGTGTTAGAAATAAGCCAGCTGGGGTGCAACATATACATTTTCGCTAACAAGTTTGGAAAAACTTGTTTTATAGACTTAAGCTTTAATGCTTTTAATTAAAATATGAAATATATGTATATAAATATAATTATACTTAAATAAAAATATATTTATGAATATATATTTAAATATATAGTTAAATATAAAATAAAACAATAAATCTAATTACAAATTAATTAATTATCAAAAATAAAATGTTATAATTGGACAAACTTGTTCTATAATCTTATGCTTTAATGATTTAAAATAATTTAAATGTATATACAATTTATATATATTGTAAATACAATTATATATTTAAAAGTAAAATAAATCTCATTCAAATGAATTCATTTGCAAAAACTAAAATGTTATACTCTGAGTTTGTTAAGGCAGTGTGGATGATGGGTCTCTGCATCAGTATGTCTGCGGCTGATGATAATGTATACATGTCTTACCAGCATCTGCTTTTGGAGCCCCGGCGGGCGGCGGGGAGGGAGCAGGAATTCTTGAACATGTTATTTCATCTTCAGCCAGACTGAATCCGTCCTGACACACACACCGATAACTCCCCACTGTATTCACACACTTCTGTGAGCAGCGATGACCTTCCTTACACTCATCCACATCTGAAAGAGAAAGATGTCTTTTGAAAGTCTTTAAAATTTTTTATTATAAAATCTTAAATAAATTCATTAAAAGTATTTTTTATTAAGCTTTTCATGACCACTTTCCACCCCTCCAAACCACCTTTTCACAGCTTTTTATAATTATATATTTATATTAACATATTTGTAGAATTGTGAAATTATTTATAAATTTATTAAAATTTTATAGAATTAAAATTCAATTTTATATGAACATAGCATAACATTAAATGAACATTAGTGTGTGTTTTTGAGCACCTGTTTGGCAGTATCGTCCCGTCCATCCTCTCGGACATGCACAGTGATTAGGCCTTACACACGAGCCTCCATTTGCACAAGACTGCTCACACACCGCTAGAGAGAGAGACATATGTAAATACACACACGTACACATGCAGGTATAGATCCACAGGAAAACACTTTCAGACGTCCGTTTACCTTGGTTACAGTTGTGTGAATGCATGCGTCGCCATCCCGGACAGCATTCTGGGTAAATGTGTAAATTAGGAGCTGCTCTGCTTACCTGCCTGTAAGAAACCCTGTAGATTGTCCTGTAAAACATACAGTCCAGTGAAACGCTGATACATTATGCAGTATAATGTGTATGTTCATTTGTTTTTGTGTTCTTACTTGTACGTGCTACACATGCGTTGGTTTTGGCACATGGTGATGTAGGGTTTGTGTACGGGCTGAAGAAACGACTCTGTGCTGTAAGACACACGACGACTCCAAGCATCTCCAACACACACTCTCCTCCTGAAACACACACAGACACACAATTATACACAAACACACTCCTACTGCTTATACTGTATATAATTCACTATAATATAGACGTTTTGCTTTTGAAAGAAGACTTTTATGTTCACCAAGGCTGCATTTATTTGATCAAAAATATAGTAAAACAGTAAGATTGTGAAATATAATTACAGTTTAAAATAACAGTTTTGTATTTTAATATATTTTAAAATGTAATTTATTACTGTGATGCAAAGCTGAATTTTCTCCATCATTACTCCAGTCTTCAGAGTCACATGATCCTTCAGAAATCATTCTAATATGCTGATTTGCTGCTCAAGAAACATTCTCAGAAATTAAAATGATTATTTTTAATTAATTTTGTATTTATATAAATTATATTGTTTTTAACAAATAATATATAACTATAATAATAATATATAACTTTATTATTATGTGTTTATCTGTGTGTGCGTGTTACATACAATGCTGGGAAAGACAATTGCATGGTTATTTTTGTATCAAAAACTTGCTGTCCATCAGTTCTAACTGGACATGACAGTCTGATGTAATTAGCTGCTATTATATGCGTTGACCTTTAACCTTATATTCACCCCTGACCCCTGAGACCTTAGAGCATGAGAATTGACATTCCCCGACACTGCAGACAAACTGCGTGTGTATTTACCCGTGGTGACCGTGAGTCTGAGGCGTGCAGGTCACATGCAGGAGAAACAGAGAGGAGGAGAGCAGGACCACTGTGTACATCTCTCTCTCTGTCTATCTGTCGCTCGCTCAGGTGTGTGTGTCCACCTCAGGTACAACCAACTCTATCAGCTACCTGAGATAGATAGACAGACAGACAGACAGACAGATAGATAGATAGATAGATAGATATATAGATAGGATAGTTAGACAGATAGATTGACAGACAATCATATTATTTTCAAAGTAATATATATATAATGTATAATATATTATATATAATATAAATACATTTAAAATAATATATAATACTAACAATGATATATGATAATAATAAAATACATATGTTATGACTCCTTTACGTTGAAAATGAGCACATCAGAGCACAGTGTTGTCAGATCTGAGCACTCAACTATAGTATTTAGGAAATGTTATTTATGCTGTAACAGCTGGATCCCATCATACATACAACACACAACTGTTCTTCAGACAGACATTAAGAATTAAAACATGCATTTATAACCATTCTCAAAAAGCACACAGTTATGACCCATTCCGTGTTACATGAGAGAGGTAATGCACTTTTAAAGGCACTAAAATTAGAGACAATTCATCATCATTAAGAAGTGCATTTGTTGCAAATCACAGTGGATTGAGTTGAACATGGTTCTGAGAAATGTGTGTATACATAAATACACACATGCTTGCACATACTTAACGATACAGATTATTTAAAACTAAGATCAATCAGATCATAACTCATAATGCAGTTAAAATTAGTGGTTTCATTTTCATTTGAGTGTAATGAAGACATATTTCTGTTTCCATCTGTAATGTGAAGATTTCAGGTTATACAGGTATTAAATATTATTTTCATAAAAACATGTTATTAAAAACATGGCTTTGATTACTGAAACAGACTCATGCATGTACAAATCTCTATTTCAGATGGAAATGAGACTTCACAAAGCCAACTATATTAAAAGTCATTTCTCTTCCTGAGTTGATCTGAACACATGTGTGTTCTCTCATCTTGAACAGCTTACAGTAATCATTAGGTTATTGCTGCTTTAATAAGTTCAGGTTTAGAGTGCGGTGTAAAACAGATCTCTGTGTTCCCCGGAGAGCTTTTGACAACAACCCTAAAGCCACAGCTATTATACCTACCACACCTGTGTGTGTGTGTGTGTGTGTGTGTGTGTGTGTGTGTGTGTGTGTGTGAGAGTGTGTGTGTGAGTGTGTGTGTTTGAGTAAGAAGCACTTTAAATGAGCTCTTGTTTCATATTTTCTGGAGATTAACGACCCATCTTCCTCCTGTTCTGTGTTTAATGATTTTCCTGTGTGTGGCATGGTAAAGCCTGCACTTCGTTTTTGGATTTACCTCAGGTACGGCTCGAGTTAGCGAGCAAAACTTTTTTTGAGTTTATTCTTAGAATTTAGAAAACTTTCCAAATGTGACTAACAAGACCCTATTAGAGTTTTATAGACAGCTTTGTAAGACATCTCTCGATGTAAAGGTTGTTTTAAATGAAGCAGCAAACTTAAAAGATACATTTTGACTAAATGTTATGGCAGAATTAAATACAATCCCAGAATGCATTGCAAGAACCTCAGTGAAAAGATTCAAATGTACTTCAAATCTATATACTACACTATACTTGAAGGTAATATATTGAAATAAAACGCCACTTAAGTGTACTTAAAGTACACTAAGTTTTACTTTCAAATATATTTTAAATCATTATGTTTTAATGTGCTAGCTAACATACTAAATACCTGATTATAATTTTAACTAGTTTTATTTGATTATTTTATATTGCAATTAAAATAAATATATTTTAAATGTACTAAATTGCAACTTCATCTTTGCAAATGTGTAATTACAAATAAAATTAAATACATGACATAAAATTTCGATATAAATTATAAATGTTTGTCAGTACATTTGACAGTACACTTTAACCATATTTCAAAGACAGTAGAAGTAATTATGAAATTACATAAAATATGTACTTAAGTCCTACTTATGTCAAAAGCACTCTTAAGTTTAAAAAACGAACTTTTATATAAATTTTTTTATCAAATAACATGCAATTAAATGTGTAAAAACATTACATTTTGTTCACAAGTATATACTTTTAAAATGTATTAAGTGCTCTTTTTAAAAGTATGCTAAAGTGTACTTCTTTTACACAACGGTATCTAATACTTTAATCTAATTAAAGCTGTATTTAACCAGTATTTCTGTTTTTAAATGTATTTTAATTTGAGCATTGATATTAGTTTAGCAACATGCTCACATAAAGGCAGCATAATTATCCTGCCTTCTTATCTAAGATTCTCTGAGACAAAACTCCAAAAGAGAATCACATGTATCATTTGTAGACAAAACATTTGAAAACATGATTCCTCGTCTCAGGTGCTTTATAGTGTTTCTGTATGTGCGTCTGTTTGTTTAATAGCAGATTCGTTAAGATAACAACACTTTCCGCGGCACTAGTGAGGTTTGTCGTCTCAGCCTAAGGATTGTGGGTCAGATAGTGTTTTCACATGTCTGCAGTCTGAGTTGGCCGGCCCACCGCAGAGCATCCAACACCACAATGAGGCAGTAAAGTGGTTTAGGACTTCTGGATGACTTTCATACAGATCTCCTGCCAAAGACTTAATGGTTTCTACAGGTCCGTACCTACATGCTGTTTCAGTTACAGACGCTGTATATGTGTACGTCTCCCACAATTCATCTGATCGCTGTCATATGTAAACACTTACCACGTGTCGTATGTAAATGCTGCCAGATCTCTGACTCACACTGTCTGAGCAGCGGTGTGCCTAACACATTGTGCATCATCGAAAATAAACTTTATATGCTTGCGATTGTTCTGTGATGCGGCAACACCTATAGATTTACACTAAATGAGTCTCTCAAGAAAGTTGAGGGATGATAATTAGCTTTTAAATAGTTAAAGGAGTAGTTTAACCAAAAATGTAAATTTGCTGAAAATGTACTCACACTCAGGCCATCCGAGATGAGTTTGATGAGTTTGTTTCTTCATCAAATTTGGAGAAATGTAGCATTACATCACTTGCTCAGCAATGGATCCTCTGCAGTGAATGGGTGCCGTCAGAATGAGAGTCCAAACAGCTGATAAAAACATCACAATAATCCACAAATAATCCACACCACTCCAGTCCATCACTTGCTGTTTTGTGAAGCGAAAATCTGCGTTTGTAAGAAAAAAAATCTATCATTAAAGCATTTTAACTGTCGCTTCTAGACAAAATACGAGTCCATAATCTATAATAACGCTTCCACCAGTGAAAAAGTCCATCCCCTGTTGTCCTCTCACATCAAAATCCACCAACATATTTGTTTAGAACTGTTTTGGACTGTTTTAACTTGTTAACAGTACTTTTTTTCTCTCGAGAGCTGATCCAGACGAGACAACTTTTTCACTGAAAGAAGCAATATTATGGTTAGAGGACCCATATTTTAAAAAGTCTTAATGATGGATTTGTTTCTTACAAACACACAGCTTTTCACTTCACAAGACATTAACTGATGGTCTGGAGTGGTGCGGATTACTTGTGGATTATTGTGATGTTTTTATCAGCTGTTTGGACTCTCATTCTGACGGCACCCATTCACTGCAGAGGATCCATTGGTGAGCAAGTGATGTAATGCTAAATTTCTCAAAATATGTTCTGATGAAGAGACATCTTGGATGGCCTGAAGATGAGTACACTTCCATTTTGGGTGAACTATTGCTTTAAGGAATAATAAAGAAAATATATAATGGTGCAAACTTCCAGCATTTCCATCAACATCATTAAATCACAATCACACAGCTACATGTGTACAGTGCAAAAAATTATTTTCTCACTCTGTATTTTTGTCTTGTTTTCCTGTACAAATATCTAAACATTCTTAAATCAAGAGACATTTACTTGAGAAGCAAAATGACTCAAGTCTTGTTTCCTGAAAAATGTATCAAAATTAAGTGAGTTTATGCTTAAAACAAGAACAAATGCTGTAAGTTGCAGATATTTTATTCTTCTTTTAAACATAAATTCACCTAAGTTTTGATATCTCATTTTCCTTCTCAAGTAAATGCATCTTGATTTAGAGTTTTTTAGATATTTGCAATGGTAAACAAAATAAAGTTAAAAAAAAAAAAAGAAGAAGAAAAAAGTAGCAGTCTGTATGTTTGTGCATATACTGTAATTCTGTATGTGTGTGTATATAATTACAAAGTAAACAAAATGCCAAACCACAAAAACATCTCAAAATAAATGAAAAAACTCTGTATGTCAACACACACCGGCATTTAGATCCACATCACTGCATATAATCACAAATAATGGCACTAATTAGACGAGGGAACAGTTGAGGCTAATGGAGGGCCAGCGGTTAGTGTGTGTGCTTAGCATACTGCATAGTGTGCAGCATATACTGCATATTATTTCTTAAAAAGTCGTATGTGAAACAAAATGCAATATATCATGCAATATGCATTTGTAATAGTAGTTTGCTTAATTGTTTCAAAAAGCAATTAATCACACTGGAAACGGAAGATCGAGCACACTGCATTGTGCGGATACAGTATTCTGCAGTGTGCATTTTGGTTATGCGAGTATTTTACTCAAACTATGCACAGTGTGCATGCTGCATAATTCAAATAGTTCGAGTGGTATTTAATTCTGATCATGGTTTGTAAGTATGGCATGCAGTCTCTCCGCTTTAACGGTAAACGACCAACAGGCAGCGCTGTTTCTCTACAACTTTATATGCGACCATTCACAGATTCCAGTGTTGATCCAGTTCAGTCTAATCTAGTTATAGTAACACACACACACACACACACATAATGACCTGTACTAATCTGATGCATGCGCAAATAAATAATAATGACGTGCATGATGCATGCATGAATTTACATAAACGATTTAAAATAAAAATATGTGTACAATGACTCACTGGATCACTCCTGTCCACCAGATGAACCGCTCGTGCGTGGATGTAAAAGGGGAAAGAAAGAGACTGGTCCCCCGGCGCGTCCCAAAAACTAAGTTTCCCACCAAACTCAGAGGACGGGGCTGGAATAATCTTATAAATAGTCCAAAAACACTCATGTGCCCAAACGCGCACTGGCACGAGACTCGCAGTTCCTGCGCGCGCCTCCCGTGGCTCGTCTCTCCGTGTTTAGGAGGTTTTTGCACACTCAGTTCTCTCACAACTGTCAAAGCGTGCAGGGGGGTAACCACACCACTACTGCCCCTCCTTCACCGGGACGTCCCGGGAGAAACACTCACGCAAGAGCTCACGGGAGACCCTCGCGCCGCGTGACGTGCCGCAGCTCAGTTTACCGGGTCACACACCGAGAAATAAAGGGAAGAGTGAAAGAAAACAGAAAAAAGGAGAAAAGCAATTAAGCTTTTACCCTTTTTGGCCAAAATACAGTAGTTAAAAAAAAAAAACATGCCAAATCAATAAAGGAATACCAAAGCTCACTTATATAGCATAGCCTACACAACCAGTCAAACGTTTAGAAACACATGACTGAATTTATGAATAGTTAAATGCTTGAAATTGCCTAAAATGCCTACGCATGTCTTTAAGATAAAAAAAAGTTTATATATTTGTGTGTGTGTGTGTGTGAATTTTATAAATTATAAAACATTGAAAAAAAAAAAAGCTTTAAAAGGCTTCCCAAAAAAATCACACTAAAAACGAACATAAAATTTTGATAAACCATTTTTCTATATTTATTTATTTAATTATTAGCCTATACAATTAATTTTCATACGTTTTTTATGTATTGTTTTTTATTTCACGAAATGTATTTAAGCATTTTAATGTATTTTTTAAGTGTTTCCAAAAAAGAACACTGCACATTCATTTTACATCGTCCGTTTAAATAGGCTTGTTATGAAACTTAACGTCATGAAACTTTGATTTCATATAACACTCATATTGGATTGTATATGAACTACTCCACACATAATGTTCAATGGCGTACCGAAACTAATCAAAGAAAACCCCATGCCAGTATAAACACATGCTGACACACTCACCGTTAATGAAGATCACGTGATGTCGCGCTGATCTCGAGGCCATTTGATCCACCTGTCGCGCGCTCTGATGCTCTTCTCCATCGCCACCATTTCTTATAAACTCTTCTTCTCTCTGATAAAGAGCACCGTGCGCTCAAAGTCTCGATGCTCCCCGTGGTCCGACTGGCGAGGAATGAGATGCTTTTGGGCGTTTTTCTCCTGCTTTTTATTCCGCGCTTCCTGTGGAACTCAGGAATTGGACGGACAATCCCAAAGCGGAAATCCTGCAAGTGTTTGGAGCTGATAAACCCCCTGGCTGCACAAACACTCCCCTCGTGCCCCTCAAGTCCCTCTACGGGTAATCACGTCTCTATCGGACCACAAACACACTATGATGAGCTGGAGAAACAGCGGGAGTTTGGCCCTGTGATTTCAACTACAAGGAATATACTAGGAATATTTACCCGAATATGGAAAGTGAAACGGTGCAGGTGGCACCTTGAGGAGAGATTCCAGTCTGATCTGACCCTTAAAATTACTTTTGCTGATGTAGCCTGGTTGATTTATTGCCATATTGTCATGTAGGCCTACTACTTTTTCTTTTTTCTTTTTCTTTTTTTTTTAGAAAAGAAAGCATTAAATTAATACTTTTATTCAGAAAGGACATATTAAATTGACCGAAAGTGACAGTAAAGACTTTTACACTGTTACAAAAAACTAAAAATATGTAAAAATATTTCACTATATATATATATATATATATATATATACACACACACACACACACATATGTATGTATGTATATAAA